TAAAAATTGTCAAAGTTGAAATTTATAATAAAAACATAGTAAGTGGACTCAAACTTTTGGAAGCAACTGTATATAATTAAGGATTTAAAAATCATCAAAGTTGAAATTTATAATAAAAATATAATAAGTAGACTCAAACTTTTGGAAGTAACTGTATATCAATCTATTATATTATTAAATATAAGAAAAGGCTATTTAATTATAATAAAGGTCACAAGACACTTTAATTATTTTTAGTATTAAAGTTTTTCATTTTTAATAGTTAAGTAGATTTCTTAAACTTTTATAGATAAGTAAAGATTTAATTTATTTTATAAAAATAAATAAGATGGATAAGAAGTTTTTTTTAATAAGTAAGTTTTTTAATTATAATTTATAATTTACAAAAAATTACAAATTGAAGCTTTTCATTAAGGCTTTCAATATAATATATCCTTAAGAATGGCTATAAAGCTATCAGTTATACTCATTATTCTTATTTGTAATAAGAGTACTAGTTAAAAACTATTGTTAAAAGAAAAGAATTTTTTAATAAACTTAGCTTACTTTTGTAAGTTTTATACTTTTTTAAATAAATAGTCTATGTTTAAAAATAAATTTATTTTTAAGATTGGATTTGTCAATTATATCTAAAGTTTTAAGATATTTTTTTTTAATTACTGATTTTATCAGAGCTTTGAATAAGTAATTCTTTTTCTTTTGTTTTATCCCTTTATTTTCAAAAATAAAGAAATATAATACTCTAGTAAATAATTTGTAGATATTAATCTTATTAATTTTAGTTTTTAGTTAATAGTCATTAGAAAAGAAAATTTTCTGATTTTTATAAATTTGAAAATTTTTTAACACTAGTTAGATTTTAAACTAGTTCTCTTTCTTTTGAAAAATAATCTAGTTACAAGATGAAGTGTTTCTTTAGGAGATCTCTTATTGTAATACTTTAGTTATTCAAAATAGTCTAAATATAAATTTTAGAATTTTTTTTTGTTATTTCTAAAGTAACGATTATAAATCTTTTTTCTTATATTCATGGTCTAAAAAATGTAAATAAACAAGCAATCATTTATATTACATAATTGTGTTACATGAGGTATTGGATTCTTCTAAATTGGAGGTTGCTAATAATAAAATGACCGATTGGTTGAAATCAACGTCTAACATGAAATCGAAAGTTCTCTTAACCAACAAGTCCCTAAAATCCTATGTCAAGTGAAAGTATCTTCGATCACCGATAAAAACCATCCAATCAAAACAATGACACTATATTCAATGCAATACTAGATATTTCTAAAATCAATCACAACAAAAACATTTTCTCTCTCACATTTCTGCCATCATTTTTGAATGAGCATTAGCCATCTTGCCTTGATATCCCCAGTCAAGGATTGGTAAGCTGTCAAAGCAAGATAATCTCAATAGGATATAGTTAACTTATTTTGTAAAGACTATTAATGTCACGTCTATGAATTGAATTTCATAATAAAGACTCGCATTTAATACTCATTTGCGATATAAAAAAAATGCTATGCATTTTAATACCAGTTTATTTATTTATTTTAAAAAATTTATAATAGATGAATTTTTGTTTTGCCTTTGAGTTTTTATGTTGAAGGCTTTCAAATATCATTTACAGCACTTTATTTAAATCAAGATTAGGCAAACCACAAAAGTTGTTTTCATCCGACAATAATATTCACGCCAAATATTATAATAAATTATTTATACAATTACACAAAAATTCATTAACAAAATATCTTTGATAATTTATGATACATTTTAGATAAACAAAACTTTTAAATAAAAATCCGCAAGAATCTAATGAGGAAAAACCATCGTTACTCAAGGAATAAATAAGGCCACATAAAGAACGCAATCGCCTCTCCGAAGATGCTGTACGTCGAAAAATCACCATAGATGAATTTTCATTTGTGTTATAGTCACGTGAAAATTTTGCTGTAGCAGGACCCCGTTTGTTTTTCATTATCTCGTTCGTACGTATATAAGCGAAAATTATGTATGAACGTACGTACATGTGATACAATTCTTTATCCACTGAAGTATATAAATAAAGTTTCTGGGTTGTCAAACAAAAAATTGTGCAATAAATTACCAAACTTTTCATATATATATTTTTTTCTTTCCTAAGCATCCTTTTAAGAATAGTTGAGAATATATTGTAATCGCCCTTCTTAGGAAGCATGGGAGATAACAATGAAGGAGTCGGCAATAATTCTGCATTCACATCCGGATCAGGTACCCCGTTTAAAGCGGAGAAACCCAAAACATCAAATCAAACTACGCAAAAAAAAGGCATTAAGAAGCTAACGTTCTGGCGCGACAGCGAAAATGCGGAAAATTACAAAGTTGTGTTTCACGTGCATTTACCAGAAGGTATAGCAGACCGAGATGGATTAGGATTTCCCGTTGTTGTTGGTAATATAGATGAATTGGGAAAGTGGAAAGATCCTATTGTTAAACTTAAATTGAAAAAACGCAAAGAAAATTTTATGCATTCTCTTCGAACCTACTGGGTTTCTGATCAAATTTCAATACCAATCACTAGTTTCAACGAAGAAATTAGGTATCGTTATGGTTTCTTCATACCCAGGAAGGAGGAGAAAAAAGATAAGTCCAAGAAAGATGACAAAGAGAAGGATAAAGCCAAGGATAATAAGAACGATGATAAAAGGAAAGGCAATGATAAGGAGTCTAAGAAAGGTGAAAAGAGTGGCGAGGGTGGAGGCATTCTAGAATCGGAACGCGATGTCAAAAAAGGAAATGAAAATACTAAAGGAAAAAAGAACAAAGTACCTGTCGGTGACTTTTTTTACGAAAGCGATGATATGCGAATATTGGAAGTTAGAGGGGGCCTTCAATTTGATATCGTAGACGAAATGTTGATTGAAAGGTGGAAATTTAAATTTGGTAGAGATGTGGAAATCTCATTTTTGGATGTCATTATCCAATTACTTACTTCCGAAAAAACAGACAATGTTAAATCGATGATCACAGAATATCAGGGCCTTTTGGAAAGATATCCAGATTATACGAAATGCCACATGACACTCAAATTCATCGACGAAAAATTACGGGAAACGAAACCTAAAGATAGATTATTTTTATATGTCCTCTTGGGTTATTATATCAAATCTCGTACGCTCGATTCGTCACTTCCTCATCACTATCAAATACATCCAGCTTTTCCGTCCAGCCTACTTCTGGAATGTCTCGAGAAATTTAATCCCGATCGCTTGCCTGAAGATGCACACGGTCCTTTTTTAATAGCAACCAACTCCCTCGTTTATCATAATGCTTATTATTCACTTTCTTTTGATTGGCTAAAAGTTTTTAGCCTAGCTAGTTCAATAGACCCGCAATATCGATTCATAGATCTTTTGGTCGATAGAGAATTTAACTCAGAAACAAAGAGAAAACTATTGGAAAAACTTCCAAAGCATGTTATGCCTTATATCAATGATATCGAGGAGAATACCTATGCTAAAATTGCTCAGGTAATGTTTTATTTTACTATCATATTGACCTCATCTTTTCGCACGATTGACAATTTCATTCTTCTCTCAGTGGCTGATTCAAATGTACGATAATGTGGATCTCTCGTATATATGGAAGGACGTAATTCGACATACCGAGAGGATCGACGAATTAATCCGTCAACCTTTTCTCGACAGAATTCAGGCCAATATCTCCGATATCGAAGTGGGCGATTTGATAAAATTTTTTGAAACCATTCCTAAAGATTTTCAGAATGGAGTCGAGGAAGCGTTTCGTACCACGATTCTTAATCGGTTAGAGCGTGTATACATTAGTTGGACATGGAAAAGTGCAAGTGACATCTTCTCTGTGTTCCAAAAGCCGGAATTCAAGTGGACCGCTGAAGATTTGATATCGGCACTGGATCGTATTTCTCAATCCACTGATTTAAATCTGCTAGATATTTTCCCCGACTTACTTAAACACTTGTTTAATTTTGAGAATTCGTCTAAAAAGATGCTCCAAATACTTACTGAATATTGGCATGGTTCTAAAGATGTATCTGAAAAAACAATACAAATCTGCACTAAATGGTACATCCAAAAATTGAACAAAATATCGGACTCGGGAGATGATCTGACGATATATCGAATGTTCGGAATTCTATCTCGCCATTATGATGTCCTCAGCGAACGCCACGATATTTTTGACGAGCTAATTGAGATTGCAAAAAAAAGAGCTTTACATTATTCAAAATCTCAAATTTTAAGAACAACGACACGAATGATACAGATGCAAGGAGAAATATGGCACCATTATGGGCAAGTGGTAAAAGGAATCATGAATGGATCGAACATTGGAGTTAATGATAATTTGATAAAGAGTATTCGACAGATTTGTAATTGCGAAGACGAATCTCTTGTTGTTCCACACCCGTAAGTGATGCGCTTTATAATTATGTTACGTTTCTTTTCATGCGTGCTCAATCAAATATCGCATTAGGTTATGCGAAGAAATCCTGTGTTCAATATTCACTTGTTTGCAAGCCAACCATCCGATCTCCGATGATGATGTATCTGCGGCTGCCTTGTCTCTATTAAAATCTTCATCTTTTTGGATTTTTATATTGAAAGCGACTGGGATAACCGAGAATCTGCATCGACATGAATATATAGGACACGTTCGTCACATCATACAACAGTTCACCAAAATTGTTGAAAGCGAATCAATTACCTTTAGAAATCTGCAAGAACTGCTTAATTTCAACACTGCGATGTTGAATGAATTTTTTTATTGTGCACACATTAATC